CGTTAGGATGGTTTTTTCTACGTTATAAAAACGGAAACCTTATTTTGAAGTATACTTTCTAGCAATCACCATTAAACTAGTGGCAACTTGGTGCTTCCAAAACAAGCAGCTAAATTTCATTTCTCAGAAGAGATTGTGCCAGTTTTAAGCGCAAAAGATCTCGGGTTAACTCTTGATAATCATTTCACTTATATGATAAACACATCAGGAATGTTATATCATCAGCTATGTCAAAACTGTGCCAAATAAATCGAGTAAATGAGAGCTTTGACAGTGACACCCTCTGCACAATCATCAGTGCCATAGTAATGAGTAAACCAGGGACATGCTGGCTAGGGACAAGCTGACAAGAACTTGTTGTGGGCCCCTGCCATCATGGATCCCTAAAATTAAAACATTGGAAAAGATAAAAAATATAGATTTTAATCACAGAGAGGAAACTGACACTAGATAACCTCAATTTTTGTGTCGCGCGCTCCACGCAAAATTTCCTAGCCAGTGCCGTCGCTGAAATTTCATAGCAAAAGATAGGGAAAACGCTGTTCGAAAGGTGAAAACCGCTTTTTTAAAAAAATGAGATACCCATGGAAATTTTGTTCAATAAATTATTGTAGAATAACGGTAAGCGATCACTTTTATTGATTTCTTTTTATTAAAAGTGTTAACATAACATTTTATTTAGCAAAAATTTGTTTTTTCCCCTATCTACTCCTTATTAAAATCGTGAAAAGCACTGGCTGGAGTGGCTGGGAATTTCAGATGCTTTATGTATAAAAAACAAAGCAGCAAATGATATAAATTCCTCAAAATATAACTCTCGCATAAAAAAAACACATGAATACTTCTATAATATGTAATAGTTGTTTCCTCTGCATTGTCAAAATTTAATAAAAATAGTGAATTAATATAATTTTATATGGTTAATAGACTTAATATATCGGCGTGACATAATTTGCCGCGAGTTTCCTCTCTGTGTATCTCTTCTCTGTGTTTTAATCTTGAAAATCAAGATTAAGACATTACAATTTAAGACGTCACAATCGAAATTTAGAAAATAATTATCAAAAAAATCACAGTATATTAATTCGAAAATAAGTGAAAACTGGTATACGGGGAAAATCCCCCCCCCCAACAATTTTGGGGAAAAAAAGATTAATTAGAGACTGTAATGTTTGTTGTTTGATCAGTAATACCCCCAACCCAATCTTGATCCATCCATCACTTGAGGGAACAGGTTTGTCGCAAGCTGTTGACAACAGAGCCATAGTGACTTGTTGAAATAACCCTCTACAAACCTGTTACTAACAAGAGATAACAGGTCTGATGGAACAACTTGCAGCTTGAAGTCTGATGAAATCAACAGGTTGTTACAGAGTTGTTCGCGAGTTGTTTTTGTCAAGTCTGCAGCAAGCTTGTTATCAGATCTGCGCCAAACCTGTCCACAACAAAAATTTTTGTCCTGTCACGACAAGTTTCAACAAGCTTGTGGTTGAGACAAATCGAAAATGTGAGTAAAGAGAAAAATCGCACGAAATGAATGCTTCCGACTTCACTTTCTCATTTAATCATTGCCATTGCACAGTGGAAATATTAAATGCAAAAGCTGTTTTAAAAAAAATAGTACTGATTTCCAGTTTACTGACGTGTGTGTGCTATTGATATATTTCTGATTGCATAAAGGCATGTGCACACATCATCATTCCATGTTGCAATTGGACGAAATAATACAAACATATCAATCACATAATCATGTTTAGTTGTTTACTTGTTTTTGAATTTTGACAAAGAGTAAACTTAAGATGTATACTTCCTCTGTGATTTTGAGCCAAACAAAATTTCAACAACTGCCTCAAACAAAATCACAAGGAAGCAAAAAAATTTCAAAGCTGTTTTGATTTTTGAAGAAACTGTGGCAATGGGAATACAAGATCTAGAGCTTAAGAAATGAAAAATACATAAACAACGTTCTTCATCGTTGATATGAATATGAAATTCATCATATAATTTCTTCCCAATTTCAAGTGAAATCTGTGAGCGAGGAAGATGCCTTATTGAAGCTTTGTGTATGTACTATTTTGAAGAAAAATATGCAAGTAGGTTTTTTTTTTTTCAGTTGCACTTAAAGAGTCTGACTAGGCTTGGGCGGTTTTGCTTAAAATCAAAACCGAAAAACTGTCTGATTCTAAACTGGTAAAACCGAAAAACCGTTTTTTTCCCTTTAATTTGTATTTCAACTGTATGAGGAGGAATTGTGGTATTTTTCTGTCATAAGCAAACGAACAGTACATGACAAAACGCAAAATTGTGCAAAGGTAACCTAAAACGACTTCAGTTTTAAAATAAAAGGGTCAAGAACGCATTTGAAAACTTATACCTCTTCAGTTCTTACCGACTTTATGGAAAAAGAATAGAATTTGTATCTAGTGTCACGTAATTGAGTTTAATTGGTGTCATGTTTTGAGAATTAAGATCGAGTTTCAGGCGATGACAGTAAACAATTACGTAATGACGGTTTTCCGGTTTTTGTAAAAGCTAAACCGAAAAAAACGGTTTGAAAATAAAACCGAAAAAAAACCCGAAAAACCGGTAAACCGCCCAAGCCTAACTGTCTGACCAATTAACTTTGAAAATTGTTTACGATAAGAACCTTTCTTTGTATTTTTTCGGTTGTTTTGCTCAAAAATTATCTCGCAATTTTGTTATATAAAAGTCTTGTTATTACGAAACACTACAACCAAAATATGGCAACCTGTTTGGCCATTTTTTGTTCAAAATCGTGGATACACGAAGCTTCATAAGGCGCTTTCCTTGGTTCACAACAGGTCTGTCGCAAGTTGTTGAAAACAGCATTGCTGCAGCTCTGTGTCAACAACTTGCGACAGGCCTGTTGAAAACAGCAATGCTGCACCTCTGTCACAACAGCTTGTAACAGACCCGTTGACAAGCCGTTGCAGACCTGTCAGGACAGACAGGTACAAGGCGAGCGAACGCATCCAGACATTAATGAGCTTGTTTACAACAAGTTGTAACAGACCTGCTGCAGATCTGTTCCGACTTGCGCGAAATTGGCTGTGTATTACACCTGCACCTTGGGTAATTATAGTTGGCTTCCAGTTAGAGAACACCTTCAATATAGAGATTCACTGATGACTTATAAATGTATGCATGAACTAGTGCCATCTTATCTCAGTGACCTATTCCTTAAACGCAACAAATTTCACGATTTAAACACGAGAACTAAATAAGATCTAAATATTCCACCATACAAAACAACGGCAGGGCAAAAGAGTTTCCATTATAAAGCTGTACAATGTAAAGATTTGGAATAGCATAGACAAGAAATTACCATAGCTTAAAAACATTCAAAACTGAGTTGAAGAAGAAAATGTTGGGAAACAATTAACATTATTGTAAAGATTAAATATTTTATATAGAACGTTTAATATTTTAAATGTAAACAAGTATTGAAAAGCCCGGATAGGGAATACTGTATTTTATAACAATAATATAAAAATGCATCATCAATACAGTTAGCACTATTTTCCATCCAGCAAACCGCCCTATCAATTTTCTAAAGTCATTTCTTTTTGGATTCTTTTATTAATTCGGTTAGGGTTAGAGTTGCGGGTTAGGGTTTGGGTTAGTTACATAGCCATTTAACACCTCTTCCATCTTCCGAAAATGACGTCAGGTCAGTTTGCTGGATGGAAAATAGTGCTAACCCATCAATATATCATGTCGAATTCATATTTTATATTAATTTTATAATATTTATAGTTAAATTATAAATCATTGGATAGTATAAATTGTTCCACATTTTTGTATATGGCAGAGATGGTACAACACTCTACCTACAACTATAGACAGACATAGAAACGGGTTGAAATATAAATGATTCATAAATTTTAAAAGTATGAAATGAACAAACCTATGAATAACAGTTGGCGTTTTTCTCTGCGTTTTCGACAATACTATATCGATGAAATCCTGTCAAAAAAAGATAGATCAAGAAGTCACATTGACGTATAATCGTAAAACTGACTGATAATGTATTAAACGTACCTTTGCCGTCGGAACAACGGTGATTTTCTTGAAATTATACAGCGACATTTTTATTTTCTTTCCCTAATCTATATATTTTCTTGCACAACAACACGTGTTCGAGTTTCGTGCGTGAGTGTCGCGCGAGCGCACCACTGCCCCCTGCAAAAAATAGGTACGTACAACGTACATGATCTGAGCAGCCTATCGAATCAGCTACCTATCGAAGGGAAGATGATTGTGAAACTCATTAGAATAACAATATAACTCAGTATCTATGTTGGTCAAAGTTTATTCATAAATCTGGTCCTTCATCGTCACGTGCGTATTACAATACGCACGTGCCGAACTAACCAATAGGATTTGACAAAAATACAATACACACGTGACGGTGAAGGAATATGAGTTATATTGTTATTCTAATGAGTAATGAGTTTCAAAGACATCTTCCCTTCGATAAGCTCTGATCTAAGCAATCACATTTTATTAGAGGCAGCTGTTGTTGTTTTAGGTGTTGTCTGTTGATCAACTTTATCAACTGGCGACTGATAAAATATTCCCAAAAATTTGAAAGTTAAGTGGTCGGTTTTAACCACTACTATCAACGTATATAACCGCTACTGTCAATCAGTGGCGTAGCTAACCCGACAATTTAGTCCCGCTATGCAAATTTAAAATTATTATCAATATTCATTTCTTTAATTGCACGTGCCGCAAACAATCAATAAGTATAACTTTGGGCTAGTATTCCGTAGGATCGAAAGGATCGATTGCCACCGTGGACAGGCATACTGATTTTTCAAGCTTGCCCGGTGTGGATATGCACTCAGAGTAACATCACAAGCATCATATTCACCTGAGTACATTACACCAACACAGAAAAAATCATGATTACTAGATTATATTGATATCGAAGGAACTAGATTCTGTTCCGAAATATCACATACTCGAACCGACCTGACCGCGTAGCTCAGTTGGCAGAGCATTGGGCTGGTATTCCAAAGGTCGTAGGTTCGATTCCCACCGTGGACAGGCATACTGATTTTTCAAGCTTGCCCGGTGTGGATATACACTCAGAGTAACATCACAAGCGTCATATTCACCTGAGTACATTACACCAACACAGAAAAAAATAAGTATAACGTCTACATGAACTATTTTCCAAAAGTTAAATCACAGATTGATAAAAGATCAAAACATTGTAGGCGATCCCTACGTTACGTTCATATGAAGCAATTCCACTGGCACTTCCCACACTAAATATAATTAAATCAAAAGAAATGAATGTTTAATCAATATTTGTAAAACGGATAAAGATTTGTCCTGATTTACATAAACTTCAGCTTTGATTTTCTCGGCTTAGACAATGTTTATTTTTAAAATTACTTCGCCAATGAGTTTAAAACATTCGCATCCGATCTTTATCTGATATATGAACTATCGCATTCAGCTCGAGTTTATGTACTATTTAAAAAACGAGCAGGAGTGTTTTATTAGGTTTAAAGCCACGAGCGCGCAGCGCGAGTGGCTTTAGACCTAATAAAACACGACCTGCGAGTTTTTAAATGGCTTCAAAAACGTTTGCATAATAAGTCAAATCTTTATATAAAAATCTTTATATAAAAATCTTTATATAAAAATCTTTATATAAAAATCTTTATATAGTTTGCATAACAATGGTCTTTTGTTAAAGTGTTCTTTAGCTGGTATAAAGACGTATGCACGTGTCTAATTTCTTACTCAAGATTGGATAATTGCTTCATGAATTATTAATGAGTTTTTGAAATATCAGATAAAGATCGGCTGCTCATGTTTTAACTGTTTTCAGTAGGGAGTTTAAGCTTCACGTTTCCGGGAACGGCAAACGGCAGGTTCGAACTTTCTTGGCAGAATTTTCGTTGAACGTTTTCCTTTCATCTTTTCTTTCTTGCGTCGAAAGAATAATTATGTATTTCAGTTTTAAAATAGCAAGTTCATTTACTCTTTATTGCCTAATGCCATAAAATTTTTCTTTGCCTGGCGTTTGCCCTTTGACGTATAACGCGAAGCTTAAACTCTCTAGTATTTTTTTCGTCGAGAAATTGTCATTACTCCCAGAATGCTCTACGTCACTGTATTTCTATAACGAATGTAATTATTGCGGTAATGGAGACTCGATGAGTACGCACCTATGGTACGCACGCAACATTCTACGTCAACCTGCCAGGAAAAAACTGAAGATTTTCGTAATGATGTAATGATCCAGTTTTTAATATAACAATCCAGTTCGGCAACAATTCTAGTCCATGCGACCATGCCTGTCAGGTTTTACGTAGCTGAGGTGAACGCCTCAGCAGGCGTCTTATTATACTGGCTTGTAGGCCAAGTGTCTTAAATCCCTCTTTTTCTGTTTTTTTTTCATGAGGAGCCAGACAGCTCCATATTGGCAGCTCCAGATTGGCGAATCTGGAGCCAGCTCCACATACAATTTCAATCTGGAGCTGGAACGACTAGTTTGTAAACAAACTGCTTTGGACGCTGAACTACCGATGGATATTCAATTTTTTTGAAAGACCATTTTTACTTGACATATTTCTTAGTATGTGATGGAAAATGAAGTCAGTATTCCGTTCCGTTCGTCCATGGTAGCTTCTGAAAGATCACTGTTTTTTCTGACAAAGGGGCTGGTCAGCGGTCGGATAGATCGCAAAGCTCGTTTAAAACCTTATTTTGTTACCTTCATAATGAAAAACTTTAAAATTTGATCGATGACCATTCTGGAGAATGTATTCAAAAGTAAATTCATGCAGTCAACTTATTCCTACATCGCGAAACCGCGATAAATAACTCGCGC